ATTAATGTGATTCAAATATTTTCATCATCATTTAGGACATTGTCATTTGTTTTGGTAAAATAATTTAATGAGCAATTCTGTATGGGTTCATGGATTCAGGGTCATTGATGTTGGTATACTGCTTAACCCTGCAATAACTTGCAAGATTCTGATTAGGGGTTTACGATAATTAATTCAATCGATTAATTCGTTTGTTGGTTTTAAAAGTTGAAGAAAAAAAAATTAGGTTTTAAACATCGAAATGTAAATTCCTTCATAAAGAAAAGAAACTGCACATAAATATTTTAATTTGAGTTAAAAAAACCTATGGATCGTCCAAATCAAGCTGATCAAGCATTTTACATCAATTTATTTGGATAAATATTATAGTTTTAGATGGAGGTTGATTAATGAACAAGTTACAAGGACTTCAAATCAAATCATAATCGAAATTGTGAACAAGTTGACGACAGAAGATTAGACAAAAATAACTTAATTATTTTGTGATCTATTGAAATATTTCGTTGGTTAATTAACGGTATCCAAAGTTCTCAAGTAAACCAAATCTAGATGCTTAATTAAGCAATGATTTAACTTTTTTAACCACAGTGCAAAATCTATGCAACCCATAGCAGTAGTAGTCTCTAAATGTCTAGGGTGATTAGATAGAAGAACTTTTCTTTGTGGGAAAAAAGAAGGTATCATCTTCTCAGAAAGTAAAAAAACATTTGATCTTCTTGTCTTCTACCTAACAAAGGACATAATCCTCTTGTCTGCCATAAATGGCCAATAATTCTGAGCTGTATTCTTGTGGTTAACTCCTCTGAAAGAGTGTTTCCTTGTGATTAAAACACTAATCACCCAATTAATTATTTGTCATGCCATCATATCTCCTTCCTATATCTAACAACAACACCTGATGCTTGACCAAACTAGTCTAATCCAACCCATGATAAAGTAGGATAATAATTCCTCTTACCAAAATTTTGAATCTATTACAAATTTTATGAGGTTTAAAGTTCAATCAAAGTTCTCTTTTTGTCACAAGGACAATATACCATATGCCATTTGCACCACAAGGAATTGACCCAGAACAAGCTTGAGGTGGCAAACAGAAGGTCTGATTAAGTCTATTCATTTCGAATTCTGATCATTTCCAGATCAAAATATATGTAAAAATATAACTATTTTAACATGATTTTCAAATTTGGGTTATTTAGAGTTCGATTTTTTTAAAATTTAAAAATTATTTCGAACTCGGGTTTTTTATTTTTGTTTCGACATTGGTTCAAGCTAATATTATATTTTATTCCACCCCAAGTTCTGAGAAAAAAAAGGGTGATGTTGAACACCACGTGCAAATGCAGTACGGCAACAGGGAGTGGCCCAGATAAATCCGAGGCCCAGTTTACGATGAGCTTGGGTTGAATGTTCTGTGCTTATCACACAGTTAATTCGGCCTCCGGTGTGGGTTAGCAGAGTTCTTTTTTCACCTCCTCCCTCTCTCTCCCCCTCCTATGGAGCTAGCTAACAAAAATGGTCCAATGCTCTCTGACCAGGAAAGTTACAGAGAGGAAGAGCTAAAAGCTTAAAGCATAAAGGCATGGAAGGGGAAAGCTCTATATAGGAAAAAGAGAATGTGTTGTTCTGCAAATGATGCTAGCATTTTGTTTTCTCCTTCCAATGTAAGCCAATTCATGGATTTTAACTTACCTGTCAACAGAATATGTTCTTGTTTTCCTTAATGAATTACCTGGCCAAAATTTTCTTCCATGAAAGTGATGTGAAAAAACTGGATGTAATGTTAGAAGATAAGCACAAAATGTTTGTATTGTCATGTTTATAAATGAAAAAGAAATGATACTGAAATTTTTTTCCATGTTCATTTCCTATCATGAGCACTTTATGTAATTATCCATTTGAAGATCCTCTTGTGTCTGCACCTCAAAACTGGAATCTTTGCATATTCAGCTAGCAATCTAAGAAGAAAGAAAGGATAAGATCAAAAGAAAAAAAACCCAAGTGTTTGTCTTGCTAATTGAATCCAGCTCTGCAATCACAATAAGGAGAGGCTAGATGTGCCTTAATGGCGGTGTCATGATGTTGTGAAAAGCACTAAAGGAAAAACAAAGAGTTCTTTAAATACAAAGCAAAACCCACTTTCACCAATATTTCTGTTTTAACAACCCTACTAATCTTCTGCACTAATCAATGACCCTTAGCATAAATGCTGGGGCTTCTCTTCTCCCATAAGATATGTAATCTGCAAAATCTGTGTATCAGAAAGCTTAGCGCTGCTAATTAAGAGAACCAGTTTCATTCGTACTTTTGCTTGGGATTGGTCTCACATGTAGGGGCCAACATGTTTGTGCTCCTCTGATGTTTTTTTTCTTTCTGATTTGGACTTAACTTCATAGGACTGATGAATGAGGAAGCAACCCTACATGCCTGGACCCTCCTCCTTCACATGGGGTTACTTTAGATTTATGGCTTACCATAAAAATTGGGTTTCCTTCAGCTTTTAATTCTTTCTCTTTTTGGCCTTCTTTTTGCATATGGAGGGAGAAGCCAATTTGAATTCAAACTTCATATTTGATATGTTATCAGGTTCATTTTGGGTGTAGCTAGCCAAAAAGCTGATCCCCATGCTTCTTCAGAGCCAATCTGAAGAAAGAAAATTCTTCTGCCTTTGACTCAAAAAAATTACTAGGAATATATTTGTCTTGGAGCTACTCAGACTGTCTCACCTTTCTTATTTCCTGAACTATATACTGGTGAATGGATTAAAACATTCCAAACTTCTGCCTAACTTTGCTGCTGAATTTTGCCATTTAGGAGCCCAAATACTCTTCACCACCATGTCCATATCACCCTTTTTCCACAGTCAAAAGTAATTAACACAAAAGGAAGAAAAGGGCTTGAGTACAAATCAATTGATCTTTTTGGATACAAAATTTCTCATTTCTTATGATGAGGATTCCACATCACATGCACATAGTCAAATAAAAGCGTGCAAGTGTTTGACATTTGTCCTGACGGGTAAGGAGGCTGTGGCACGACACTGACCAATTGTGATGTGAATCTGAACCTTAATCTCAATGATTGTCATAACAATTTAACTACATTGTAAATCATGGTTTCTTTACACTGCATTCACATTATCAGATGGTGGAAGCTAGAAGCATGTATGTGTTAATAAGCTTATGCCTGTACCCACTTATGAGTTGTAATGACCTTTTCATTGATTGTTTCCTATAGAAAAAAAATAATGGTTTTCATTCCAAGTTATCTTTTAGGAAGAGGATTTTGTTATTCTTTCTTTTGGAATTCAATGACTGGGGATACACAACGGGACTTGGGAAGAAACATTTCATGCGTTTTAAGTCTAAACTCTTCATTTCCAGGTTTTTGTGTGTCATTTTTGTCAAATTGAAAGAAAATGACAAGGATTTTTGAACATGGCTAACATGGCTAGTGGGAAAGGGAACCCCTAGTCATAACTCAACATGGTCCAACTGGGGAATTAAAGATTGGTCTTGGTCTTGAAAGGAATGGCCAACATCAAAAACCAACCATGAAGGATCCGGGATGGTGTCACGTTGTGCTAGCAATGTGCAGTTGTCCAGGGTAATGCCAACAGACCACATGAAAAGATGGTCCCCAAGAATAGACCCTGACTCCCAAGTGTTCCATTGAAAACCACAGTAAAAAGCTTCAATGGCTAGGGAAATTGGGCCATGCCGGCCAGGAGCTTTCGTCATTGTAAAAATGTGGAAGAAGGTGAACCTCATCAGTCATCGCCCCACCACATGGAATTATGCAAGTTGGGTTCATAAGTAGGGTATGGCATTGACAACTGACCACTACTGTGCTGACAAGAACCCTTCACTGCAAATGTTTGCAACATACTCACATTCCTAGCCTTTTTGTTTGTTTCTTTCTCCACAGGAGACGTAGAGGACCAATCTTGGTATCGAGCTTTGGTAGCAAGTGTTATAAAATTTTATATCAGGTTAATGATTTCGTCACAAATTGATATCAGAACTAGTCCGAAGTCGACCCTGATGTTATGTTAATCATTTTAACAGGCGAAATAGACAACGAAAATGTCACAGATGAACGGGGGTGATGGTAGATGATGTGTTGAACATTTCACTCTCACTCTTTTCCTGTAGCAGTGGTAGTGAACAGAGTTGAGAATCTTTTATCACCAAAGTCCTTTTTAATCTCCGATGGGGTCTCACTCCCCACTATCCACCACCACGCCCACCCCCACATCGTACCCTCTTACACATATGTACATCATCACCACGTCAGCCCTTGGGTCTTTGCACGGACTACCGGTACAAGGAAAGCAAGATATTTCCTGGTTGTTTTGTCCTCTAGCTTCTCTTCGGATTAGGATTTCAGGGTCAAGTATTTCCAACCACAGGCCATACAATCTTGGGCTGAGAATGTGGTGGTATACGTTGCTTGTAAATTGTTGATGTAAGGGATCGACAGACTGTGAAGTAATCCATAGTCGGCCCACAGTGCTGTCCATAACTTCGGTCTGTTGGGGGAGCAAACGGAAGTTCTATTCAGGAGCTTAAAAGCTGAGGAATGAGACATTTTTCAAGCCCACCAAGCAGGGTTTATACTGGATTTTGAATCCCAAACTTGAATCAAAGGAAGTGGTGCCTACACACAGGTAAGAAGACAGAAAGTTGTGACATTCACGTCAATATTGTATTAGAATAAAATTAAATATTTAAATATTTACATTTACGAAACATCTTTTCTTTGATAAAATCATGAAATCCAATAAATCAAAATGAATAATACTTTACAAATTGATAAAAATCGTAATAACCAACATCAGAGTCAGCCCTAAGATACTAACAATGTGCTCCTGGGAACAATAAACTCTTATTGGGGTCACTAGAAAGAAAACAAAGTTGTTTTCATTGAAAAGGGAATAATAAAGGGAAAGAAAAAAATTAAAGATAAAATTATAAATAGATCCATCAAGGAAGCATAGATAGAAGGAATTTGGTTCAACATTCAACACTTCCACCATCATAAACAAATTGTATAAACAGTTTACAGATCGAAATTGACAAATTTCAACTACGATTTCAACCGTAGTTCCCACAAAATCTTATCTATACAACATCTCCTACTTTCCAATCTCATTTACCAGAAATTTGCGTAGTCAATGGCATTCACCAACTACCCAACCTTAATAGATTTGCACAGTTTCCACCAACACAAAACTAATCTCACCTCTTCACACTTGGGCCGGCAATTGTCTTTGAGCACCCAACCGCACCCTGATCAATTGACTTCCCTCCAAAAAGTTGCAAAGAAGATGAACCACTTTTCCTTAGCTTACCTGGAAATTCTTTACTCGAATTACCCTTCACAAAGAGATTTTTCTTCATGCGACTCCGGTTAAGCAATAACATAGTACTACGTGGGGGTGCATGCAAAGCTGCTTCAACACAATCTCCCACCTGTGCACAGCCCCAAGTCCTTGATGGCCCATCCTCAGAAAATGGTCTAAGCCTTGGCAAACCATTCCTAAGCCTAGAGATAACTTGTTTCTCTGGGGAATTTTGCTCTTCCAGTCTGACACATATAGGACAAGGAGGGTCATTTTTACGAGTCTTTGGTGTTGTCTGCTCCAAACATTCTGCATGAAAAACATGTCGACATGAAAGAACCCCAGCAACAGGCATGTCACTACTTCTTACAATCCTACGAGAACTCCAAGGTGACCTCTGTGAGAGAAATCTCTCACACAACCCGCATTTGAAACCATCAGATGGGATAAATGACCAATTAAATATCTCAGACTCAAATGGCTCAGAAACATCTGCAAAATCATTGCTGCTGCTAGCACTGCTCCAGCGATGGGCATCTCTTTGTGGTGTGGCAGCATCATCTGAAAACCCAGTAACTGCAGAGTCAGAGGCTTCTGTAGTAGGAGTCCCCTCGGGAAAGGACAAGGGGTGAATAGGTTTGGACATAAAGTAACGTCGATTTGAAAAGTTGCGATGAGATGACAAGCATGGCTTGACCATGGCCTCAGACTCGCTACTGTCTGAATGGGATGAAGTGGAGACCCCACTATCCGCATTTGATAAAATCCCCTGCAAATTCAATCAAAGTAAGGAACAGAAATTCAAGGGGAAAACTTCTCAACTTAACACCAATATGAAGATGAGAATAAGGTACCTCAACAATAGAAGCAAAGGGTAATTGTCCAACAACTTGATCTAACAAGGAAAAGAAGGCAACAGTTGTTTCAGTCGAAGCAAAGAGAAATGACTCAATTTTTTATCAGTATAAGATATCTCCAAAATTCTATTTCCAAATTTCAAATGCATCAAGCATCAATAACATATTTGGTGATCATTGCGATAGAGTAGCTAACAGAAATTCCTTAAACAGTTTATGCAAACCGCCCAAGATGTTATTATGAATCCAATTGTCCTATAGGTTTACTTTTGCCATAGAAATTGGCTTTAATTCTAACTGCAACACAGACAAAATATAGCCGAATAGTATCATAGGATCCAAAACACAGACAGATAAACATACTAAAACTCCAGAACACTACAATTCTCTTTAATTAGAATTGTCAATGGATACCAACTAACTAGGATATTGACACCAGGTATAGATAACTGAAAAGCAATATCAAGAAGGCAATGGATAAAGTGACAATTTATATCACAGAAGAAAGCAAAGCTTTTTTCTTTCGCATAATGATCATTTAATGTGATGCATCCAAGGAAAAATGTCAACAATTACAAACTTATGTCTGCAAGGCTACAGATATAAATCAATAAAGGAACAAAGAAATTATGTTATGGAAATTGAAGACAGTTGTGATGGCAATAGGTTGAAGAAAAACCAATCAAGATAGATGACACAAGTCTGTCCGAAAATGTAATCAATTAATCAACTGTAGGTTCAATAGCTTGCCATCCTACAAAGAACATAAAGAAAGAGAGCTACGAGTTTCACCACTGGCAATTTTAATCATCTCTTCAACACTATCGTCACAGCTCCTAATATTCATGGTTGGACAATTAAAGGTTATGCAAATAAAATAGATGAAAATCACATGCATAAGCAAATAGCAATTTGCAATTAGAATTGCAGGCGTACATCATAAGAAGACATTATAACATTTGAATGGCTGGACACATGCGTACATCCCTACATGCTTATTTATTTATAAGCCTCTGCTTCAATGTTTCACCCGAGAATTATAAATCACCATATACAAAACTACTTATGATAATTACCCAATTTCTAAGACATTATCAGACATAACATTTCCAGCAAGAGAAAAATGCAAAAGAACACCATGTCCAACCAAGTGGAACTAAGAATAAAGGGTAGACAATGTCAATACAAATTAACAGTCAAAGTAACATTCTTAACTGTATTACCTCTTCTCGTTGTAGTTTCATAATCGTCAGCAGTGATTTCTTGTATTGCTGGGGGTGTCCACTGTGGACCCTGAGAAAGGTCAGATGGACTACTTAAAAACAGCCCAGCACCATCAGATGTAGAATGCTGATGATTGTAAAGAAGATTTCCCCTCAGCCAGCCCCTACTTTCTTTGCTGTTTGAAGATGTAGCAGACCCATACAATTGAATCCCATCATGTGAACCATATGACAGTCCCTCGGGTTGAAAACGGAAATCCCATCTTGAAGGAGGTGGCGAGAAGCTTGTATTAGTTCGCCAATAAGGCTCATGGGGACCCACGGACCAGTCTCTACTGGCTGTATTTGACCCATGTGGCCTCGCAGCCACACAACACAACGACCCCGTCTTAGCTATTTTTTGTAAACCTCACAAGCACTAACTCAACGAGCTTTTAACTATTATAAAGCTTGATTCTGAATAACTCAGAGAATTACAACATTTTGAACAGATTTTACACTCTCTACAACTATTTTGACATTATAATCCAATCTTCGATATATATAAACAGCATGGAACACACCATTTTTATTGGTGAATTATGTTAAAAAGGTATCTCCTTGCACAAGCATGAACCTTTACCATCTTCCTTTAGACGTCACTAGCATCAAAACAGAAACCTGGCAAGAAACAGTTAAAATAAATCAAATTTGATGTTAGAATCATGCATATACCTGACAAAAACAAACAAACCCTTGTTGAAAACTTCCCCAAAGAAAATAAAAAATAAAAAAAAAATCCCGCCAAGTTCATAATCAAATACACTGTCATCTTCTCATTTTCCAAACATATACTAGTCAACTTTCTCACAGTTACTCCTAAATGGAAAATATCAGCAAATAAAGTTCAATAATTTCAGAAAAACTAAGCAAAACTATCATACCCCATAACTAAGAATCAATCCTTTCTTTCCCAAATGTCAACTTGACATACAGTCACAGATTTAAAAACCAATCAGCCTTAAAAATGCAACATTTTTCACAATTTCAGACAAAAACAAAACCAAAAAATTATAAAAAAAATTCCCGAAATTTTTTTAAAAAATAGTAACTAACAGGTACCAAACTGAACCAAAAGCAAAACTTAGTACAGATAATCCCAACAAAATAACTGCAAAGAACAGTTTAGTGAGACTTTAAAGTGGAGCTGTGATCATAGAAAAGTAATTAAAACCTAAACCCTAAACCCCCAATTAATTAATCCAAACATAGAGAGAGAGGAGAAAAAGAGAGTGTCAGACTTACCGCTTTCTTCAGGCGAAATGCAATCGAGAGGAAATGCGAGGGATTTTTAGGAAATGAAAAACAAACCCTAATTTATCGGGGAAAGAGAGATTAATTTATTAATGTTATATTATTTTTGGTTTTTTTCAAATTAGGACCTTTGTTCTTTGTGTATTTCTTAAACTAACCAGCAGATTTTTCTATTTTCTATTTTCATTTTTCCAAAAGGTCAATGATAATAATTTCGACAACTTTATGAAATTATATATGTATTCATGCACAAATATGATAACATAAGAATAAGATTAAATAGGATTATATAATTATAGCATTAAATTTTTTCTGAAATTATTTAATATGATATCATATTAATTATTAACATCAATCATTGAATTTAATATCGTGACATTAATGATTAGTGAAATTATTTCAAATTTAACTAATAATATACTAATAATTTAAGGTATGGTATAAGTACAATAATTTCATGCTACCATGTAAGCATAAGCGTATAACTAATTGTATTTATAAAATTAATCATTATCGTATTATAAATAAATTAATTCATTGATTATTGAAGAGGCATTTGTTTTGATTAATTGATTGCGTCTTATTTTAATATTGTCAATTTGTCTTCGATTATGTTTAAGGCAGCAATAACAAGTCAAGTCATGACCCAACTTCAATTTCGTACTCAATGTTTAATTATAATTATATTGTTATTATTATACTTTGTCCGTCTTCTTCCGATACTTATTATTTTATATTGAAAAATGTTAAACATTGATATTATAAGAAAATTTTAAATTTTAATATAAAATACATTAAAATCAAAATTTTTGTCTTAAATATAAAGTTAAATCGGGATTATCATTAATTTTGCTTTAACTAAAGCTGTAGTTGAAGCAGACAGCATTATGAGAGAGTGATTATTAAAAAGTGAATATATATATATATAAAATTGAAACCTCCCTACTTTAAAGTATATTTCATCATAATATTCTTTTGCATTGGCTGGTTAGCCTTATTTAATGTCAATAACAACAAGACTCTTTTGGCAAAGCCACAAAATGTTCCCACATGTTTTATCTAATTATATATTTGCCCCCAAATGTTTTCACTGCCTGCGTCTGCCCACTGCAGGACATGTTTTGGCATATGGGGATTGGATTGGGAAAGGACAGAAGGAGGGATGAAGACTATGTAAGATCTCATCCCTGACAACCCAATCCTTTGGAATTAAGCTCAGCTTAATCTTTATGAATCATCAGATTCATATGCAGAAGAGGTACAAGAGTTACAAACTGGGTGTAATGGGAGGGAATGCTTTCAAGCCAGATGTACAATCCAATTTGGGCACTTGAAAAGGAGGATCATCATGAGTTAAAACCAATCAAAAGCTGCAGTTTTTGTTGTTGAAGTTGCTGAGAAGCAAGCATCACTTGATTGATACCTGGTGAGTTTGATCAAGTGCCGGTTTTTTTAGTTACAAGCTACTCCATAAACATGTGGACTTATTAGTGAGCAGGGAGCATTGGACAAGGAGGTCATGCTTAGTTCCAAACTCGAAAACCCTGCTGCGGATATGTACTTCCCCGTTTCTCTGGTAAAGTGACATCCATCAGCAACTATCTGTTGCAAAGGGTCGAGAGCACTCTGCAAGAGCTTTAGAATTGTTCCATCTGCAAATACCATCAATACACCATGAATGACTAGAGCTGAAACTGTTTGCTGTATTTGTATGTCAGGAAATTCAGCTTAGTACCTTTGGCAGCCACGTGTTCGACAAACAGGAAAAGGCCTCCTGGTTTCAGCACCCTCTTCACCTCTGAACAAAGAGATAAGAAGTTAAAAATTCATTGGAACTTTCTCATTGCTGTAGATCAAATAAAAGTTGACGTTGAAATAGTTCAGGCTGTGGAATAACATAGTTCATGAATGAGCTAAAAACTAGTTCTGCAATGAACAAAGCAATACTGAAGGACTTGAATGCTGAACTAGGAAATACAAGGAGAAGAAAGCATATATAATCATTTGCATATAGCTTGAATATTATTCATCATGAGACAGGAGTTCCATTGTTTTTTCCATGTACAAATCCTTGAAGAGTCTCCCAAAGCAATAAAGCTCCTAATGAAAAGGATATGATTCCTGACATAAATGAACTAAAGGAAATATTTTTCATTTAATAACTGCTACAAAAATTATACTGGCAAAACATAGAAGAAGAAAAAGCCTAGAGTGCTGAAGTACCTTTTAGTGCCATATTTACATCTTTGACAGAGCATAATACAAGTGTCCCAACAACTGCATCAACAGAAGCATCATCAAGTGGAACAGCCTCTGCAACCTGCATAAAGTTTACAGCTTTGAATTCAGAAAATGAAAAGAAAAATGACTTGAAATTCGATCTATCTAGAATAATGATCCAAAATCTTGTATTCTAAATAGCCAGTGTAGGACTAATATTACAATTTACACATGAATAGCAACTTAGCAACACAGTTGATGAAGCATGCTATCAGTCTCAACGCTGCAACATAAACCTGGGGAGATCATCTCCCCTGCCTTTCCTTCAGAAGGTTAAAAGAAGTTAAAGCCAAGATATTTGTTTCCTCAATTTTAAACATTGCATAGAAACATTAGCATGGCATTGAAGGTTTGAAGGAGGGAGGTGGTGGTCTTGATAAACTCAGGAGCTACCTAACAAAATGTGCTTGTTATGGATAACAATGATATCAATTTTCAATTCCTAAACATTTCCTGCACTAAACCCTCCAAAGCATCAATTTCTCACTACTGCTTCCTTTGATTACAGCTGCTTCAGAAATTGGATTTGTTTTTCAATTATCCTAGGCAGCAGATATAGCAATATGGTAAACACAAATTTCAGGAACAAGTCACACAGGGAACATCAACATACAGCTTCTATGAAATGAAAATTCATCGGTGGTAAACCAACGGCTGCTGCTGATGCCCGAGCATACTTCTCCATCTTCCTGTTAGGATCCACACCAAAAACTTGGACCTCACTATTATCAGCATAGTACTCAAGATTAGGGCCTGTGCCAATGCCAATTTCCAGTACCCTTTTGGCCTTTCCCCTTAGTTCCCCAAAGAGCTGTGACTTGTAACCTGCAACCTTTGACATATAACAAAAGAGGTGTCACTGTCATGACCCATCACCATCAGAATTCCAAAGATGAAGACTTGCTTCTTCAACTAATTAACAAACCTCTGCCTCATAAGATTTCATGCTCGAGTCCATGACCGAGGCATAGAACTCCTCGTACCAATCCGGCCTTGGAGGGTGAATCCTGTTCAGCAAAGCCTGCAATTTGAAATTTTCTCTACAATAATCTACACTTACATATGTAAAGAGAAACAAAGAATTGACCAGTTTGTGTTCTTAGAGACGAAGACGGGGTACCAAGTAATTATCAGAGTGTAAACTAGAGGCATAGGAGGAGCAAACTGGAAGAAAAGCTGCGGTGGCAGCTTCAATGAAATGCCTTCTTCCACAGGAACAGAATCTGGGTGGAGGTAACACCTGTTTGTGAGGAAGAGGAGCTGCAGCAACCGAGCAGTTCTTCTGGGTAGATTTTAAGGAGGAGGCAAGAGGCTGAAGGTGGGAACTAGGAGATTGATGGAGGAGAACCGTTTGTAACATCTTCGTTTTAGAATTAGTGGCAGTGTTTTCAGTTGGGGGAGTTGGTTAAAGAACTGACTTGCTAAAAGTGGCAACATGTTCATTTCTCCCCACGATTCCTAAAGATATTTTTAGTAACTAGTGGTTTTTTTTTCATTCATTACATGCCATAATTGTAAATGTAAAAAGAAAAGAAAAACATTTATTAATTTAAATTTTAAAATTAAATGTTTTAATTTGAATTATTAGTATAATATTTTAAAAATAATAATAACTATTAAAAAAATTTAAATCTACACTCTTATTTCTATCACATCCTTATAATAAATCATTTATAAATTATTATTAATTAAATATTATTTATCATTATATATCATATAAATTTGACATAATACATGATCTTATGTCATTATAATATATTTATATTATATTTTTTATTTCTTTATAAATATTATATGAACGTCACATAAATATAAAAAAATAAATAATAATTTAATTAATAATAATTAATTAATCGATAACAATAATAAAAATTTATTTAATTTAAAATAAAAATATAAAATTTATTAAAAATAATAAAAAATAAAAATTTTAAATTTGTATAAATAATTCACAAATATTTTCAAATATTATTTCAAAAATTATCTAATACATTAACGATAAATTCTTTAAATTTCACTATATTAAAAAAATCAACAAATATTTTAAAATATATTAATCAAAATCAACAAATAAACACATGTTTAATTCTTTCATTTCACCGACAAAACTCCTCAAATATTCTACTGTTACTCTTCCAATGAAAAAGTCAACACACACAAAGTGTAAAACGACATCGTTTAAGAGTGGTACGTTGCTCAATTGGGTAGAAAGGAAAAGTATATTCTCTGCAGCCTTGCACGTGAACGCGCTGTCACGCTTCGAACCCTAAAAACAAGGGAAAAGGTCGGTCACCGAAGATATTTTTCCCTCAAAGAACCACCGCCGAGTCGGTTATTATATTAAAGCCCCGACCTTTACTCCGTTTCTGTTCTCCCGTTCCTGTCTTTCTCGGTAATTTTCCTTCCATTATTCAATTTATATCTCTTTTTCTTTCAATTATTGTTATTATTGTTGTTATTATTCGATCTATGCTTATAAATTGTTACTTGTTTGTTCAATTTTTGTTTGTCTGATTATTATTTTGCATTCAGTTTAGGAAATTGGTCAAATTTGTTCCTTTTTTCTGAGTTTTGCTGTTTTTTTTTTTGGTTTTGGTTTGGGTTTGTTGCAGTTAATTGAAGTTATTGTAAGATCCGGAAATTCGAAACTAAAGGCGGGTTATTTCTGTTATGGCTGGTCAAAGAAACGATTACGGTAAAAGATCCCATTTTCAATCTGATTACGTTGGGAATGGAGGAGGAGGGGGTAAAAGAAGGAATGCCGGGGAGGAAAGTGAACAGCGTGGGATTGGCCCCGAAGACACGGTTTACCGATATCTGTGTCATGTGAAGAGGATTGGGAGTATTATAGGGAGAGGTGGTGAGATTGTGAAGCAGTTGAGGTCAGATAGTAAGTCGAACATTAGGATTACTGAGGCTATGCCGGGTTGCGAGGAGAGGATTGTTATGATTTACAGTTCGAGTGAGGAAATGAATCCGTTTGGTGACGGGGATGAGCTTGTTTCACCTGCTCAGGATGCTTTGTTTAGGGTACACGATAGGGTTGTTGCGGATGAGTTGCCTGGTGATGAGGATTTGGAAGAGCAGACTCAAGTGGTTACTGTGAGGATGCTTGTGGCATCTGATCAGATTGGTTGTGTAATTGGGAAAGGTGGTCAAGTGATTCAGAATATAAGGAGCGAAACGCATGCTCAGATTCGGGTTTTAAGTAATGAGCATTTGCCTCTGTGTGCTTTGAGCTCTGATGAGCTTCTTCAGGTAAAATGTTTTGTTTTGTATGTATTTTGAACTTGTTTAGTAATAAATTAGAGATACAAGTGTTGGTTTAAAATTTAATAAGTAGATTTAATCTCTTAGTACACTTCAAAACTTAAAATGATACTGATATATTTGAATATGAGAAGCTTTTGAGTTGAAACTCCCTTATTCATGTAAATTTAACATCTGAAATTTGGTTTACAAAAACTACTTTTTTGCCTTAAGACTATTGCAAAGTTGAGAGGAAACTGTATGAAGTGTATCGTGGTGATGCTTCGCACCCACAATTTTAACTTTTCTTCATAGAAATTGGAAGAATTTTTTATTGTAAAATTTTAGGGTCTTCTGTTGTAAATGGTGGGATTTGGAAGATCTGCAGTTTGATCTCCTTGAGGCTTCTGACCAAGTAGATCTTACCTAAAAATGTGTACTCGAGGTGTATTTTGATGTCCTTAAACGTTCATGTATGAGTTGCCTGCATATTAGGGGATTTTGATTTATTTCGTGGTTCCTTCTTATTTATTCATTCAGTTTCTCTGTCGGGATTTCAGATTATTGGAGAGCCCTCAGTTGTGAGGAGGGCTCTTTATCATGTGGCATCCCGTCTTCATGACAATCCTTCAAGATCCCAGCATCTGCTTCTCTCCTCTCTATCTAATGTGAATCAACCTGGTGGGACGTACATGAATGCTCCCCTTATTGGTTCTTACGGCAACTACTCTTCTAGAAGAGATGATGCTTCTGCAAGGGAATTTTCTCTTCGTTTGGTATGCCCGGTCGGAAATATTGGAGGTGTGATTGGAAAAGGTGGTGGTATTATCAAACAGATTAGACAGGAGTCTGGGGCATCCATTAAAGTTGATAGCTCTGCAGCTGAAGGAGATGATTGCATTATATTCATATCTACAAAAGAGGTAAGAATACAGTTATTTTTAGAATTATCCACCGTCTTATTGTGGAATTTATGATAAATTTGGATGTCGTGCTGAATTATTTATATCGCTGCAGTTTTTTGAAGACCCATCTCCTACCATCAATGCTGCTCTGCGCTTGCAATCACGATGCAGTGAAAAAACTGAAAGAGAATCAGGTGATTCTGTAATAACCACCCGCCTACTTGTGCCGAGCTCACAGGTTGGATGCCTTATTGGTAAAGGTGGGGCAATAATATCTGAGATGAGGAGTGCTACTAGGGCAAGTATTCGAATACTTTCAAAGGAAAACCTTCCCAAAGTTGCATTTGAAGATGAAGAGATGGTGCAGGTGAGAAAAACATGTTCTTTGGTGCGCACATGCACACTTGCTTTTATTGTTCACTGATTCTCTTGATCATACTTTTCTAGCATGATGGAAATTTTATGTTTTAATGCTGTACAGATAACTGGAGGTCTTGATGTTGCTAGCAATGCCCTTTCGCAAGTAATATCGCGGTTGAGAGCTAATATATTTGAAAGAGAGGGAGCACCGGCCACGTTTTTGCCTGTTCTCCCCTACATTCCCATGTCATTAGAGATGTCAGATGGTTCAAAATACGGGAACAAAGATGGTCAACCACGTAATCGTGGATACTCTTCTTACTCAGGGGGATACAGCTCTGGTGATTTGTCTGCAAGCGACAGTTATGGAATATATAGTGGTTCACTTGTAAGCTTATCTTGGGATCTATTTGCTCTTTAACATTTCTTTGCAAAGATGTGTAAGCTTACTATTATTGGGATTCATCTGGTTATTCTAGGTGCTTTCTAAGGTGCAGTATCTGCATGTTAGAATGATCCATCAATTGCATATTTCTGATGGGCTGCATGCATAATTTCTCTCACTTGTTATTGTACTTCCTCTGAATGTTTAATGTTGTCATTTTTCAGAGTGGAGGTGACGTCTATGGATCTCATGGTGGTCGTAATTCTGGCCGGGGGTAATGTTTGACTATCAAGTTGGACACTTTTTATTGTTTTTTAATATAAATTCTAACTATTTGGCCTGATTTTTGGATCCTATGACCAGGTTGTCCAATCAAAACCCAGTTTCGCATAGGAAGCATGGGTATTAGTCCCAGACTTTGCAGGTAAATATGTTTTTTATTTCATTTACATACTTTGGGTATTGATAAGCAAGTTCTTTTGATACTTTTGAGTGAAGAAGATACTGCAGAATGATTTATTGAACCCTGCCAGCCATCCTCTGCCAAGGATTCTAATGCACCTTCCCCACTTGTTGCCTTTTCTCCCCTATCTAAACAGTTGTCGTCAACAAACATAGAAGCCAGACCTTTGTCCCTTTCGATGAAGCCAGCCTAGATCAGAAGACCAGACAAATTGGATTTGAGAAACTTATGTTCCACTTTGGCCCACCCTTGCGCTTGTCTTGTGTGACCAAGATCATTTGATGATGCAAATCACCACTCAAATCACTTTTGGCCTGGACTTCATGATTTTCAGGCTCTGTAATGTGTTTCAAATAATTTGCTTTTCATGTAAAAACCTTACATTTGTAGCCTTGAGTTTTGGCACTTGGGCTCATGAAATGTTTTTAATGTTTTATAATGGAATTCAGGTAGCATCTGCTTGTTTAGGTTTTTTCTTGTATCCATGTGGTTTGAGAGCAGTGTCATAGGAAAGTTTAGGTTTCTGTAATCCTAAGTGTAAATGTAGCAGTATCTTTTATTGGGTTTAAATGCCATCATATTCTGGTTTCTTGATAATGTTTTACATGTAGCTCAAATGGCTGGTGTGTTTTTGGAGTTTGCAGGGGTATAATGGTTCCTTTTCTCTTGAAGAAGAGAGGTTATATGTCCTTCTAAATGAATTGCATTAAAAAATTATTCCTTTTTAGCATAATCTGAGATTTGAGCTTTGCATAAAATGAGTTGGAAGTGATATAAGAGTGTTATGAAATTGTAAATCGCTTAAAGTCAGAAATATTTGGTTATGGTATGTGTTCAGGTAAGTTTTGGAGGCTGTGTTGTGAAGAGAAAGCTAGAGAGGGAGATAAGGTTAACCTCAAATGGAATCAATTGAAGGGGTAGGTTTATTCTTGGTATTCCTCATGCTCTTATTTGATATTGCTGTAAGCAACTTTAGTTGTTTGTGCACTTGGCAGGTGGTTTTTATCGTTGACTTCCTCTGGCATTGGGAGCAGGTAAGCTATATGTAGTAACTGGTAAGTGGCTTTTGTAGTCAATTGGAATCTGGTTGTACTTGGGATATACACTGAACAAAATTGGAGCAATATAACAGAAATAGAAAGATGAAATGTGAAATGATTTTTTAATTTGAAGTGAAAAAAATGATAGTCATTTTGAACCTAAAAAAATAAAATCAAATGATTGAAAAGGTAGTTCATTGATATTTTTCTAATTCTTTAAAAACCGATGAGAAATAGGTTGACGCGTCCCATAGTTGTAGCATAAACAGCTTTAGTTTCTAAGACGAGTCAGGTAGTGATTTTAGGGAAATGGTTGCCACAACTAGGGAGTTTCCAATGATCCTGGGCAGTGAGAAAATTCTGAACGAAAATAATGGTAACAATAATTTCAGACCTGATGATTTGTCTGGTTGTTGAACATTACAATTACTGTTCCAGGGCTATATGTTTGCACAATGTTCCCAGACAAGTCTCCTTCTAACCTTGCCTTTCTTCATCACAACAAACACATGCTGAGGAGATTGCCTTTTACTTAATCCTTAGAATACTAGAAATTGTAGATACTTATATATATGCAAAAGAATGCTTGAATCGTACAACTTGAATATATTTCTTAGTATTGTTAATGCTTTGTTGCTGATTTTCTCTGTATCCATTTATCTTTTTTACTGCTATCTTTCAATTACTAATTCTCGTATGTGGTATCTCCCATGCACAAACCGGCTTGTGGCAGTTAAAAATTGACCCAGACATTAACTCATATGAATGTATATGCATGGATATTCGATTTACATGGGAGTTTTGTTAACAACCATCAGAACACTTCCTACTGTTTGGAGAAATAGAATAATCTTAGAACCTTCTAAATATTGGAGAGTCGTTATGTCTAGCTCCCAATATGGATAGTTTTATACACGGAACTGTGGTTTTTATTACACTAGCAAGTAGCAAGCTTTCTTTTTATAGTTATTCTGAAGATGATACTCATAGAAATCACTTGTTTATTTTTTTGGCCTTATGTAACTACATAATACATTACTCTCTTAAGGATAATGCTTGCTGACAGGTTTTTCTATCCGAGTTGGAATATTATTGGCACTTGTGCAAAATGTCTTCCTGCATTCTCAGCTTTGGTCACAATGTTTAACATGTGCATCATGGTTTGTCAAGCTGTTAATCAATGCAGTCAAGCAGTTCATGTTGTCTCATTGATCTCATCAGTCATTTCAAAACCCTCGAACCCTTGTTATCAGACAATTAAATATATGTTGTGAGCTGTTGGTGTACAGAGTTTTTGACATTTAAGTGCAGTTGATGTATCATAGATTGAATCTGATGATTCGTTAATTTACTGTGTATTATATATTGAAACCGATGATAGTTAAATTGTTGTAAAGATTAAGAGTTTGTCTTAAGACAAATTAAGAGATAAATGTTTTTTTTTAATAATAAAAGAATAAAGATATAAGAAATAACAAAAATATGAATTATATATATAAGAATTCAAGTCATATATAAAATGAATCAGTAACTCCATTTATTACTCCAACAGGAAAGGTTCGAAGGAATGTTCTTATGCTTATAATGATGAAGCTCGATGCTGTCAATCGTTTGCTTATCAAGAAAAAGACCAAAAAGGGAAGTTGTATCAATTGGAGTACATAAATATACGGGGTTTACCAAACCCCACTTTCTGCCGGGAAGAAAATTCTCGAAAAAGGAACATTTTGCATGTTCATGAGGTTCATCGAAAGCACCACTGAATCTGAAAGTGAACCAAGCTCTCTTACGCCCTCATGTCATGTGTCTCGTCCTCCTTTGAAATGGTGTTGCCACTGTCACCTTCCAATCTGCAGCTTTGATCCTCGGAAGATGAAGTTGTGGTATTGCCATCATCTCCTGTCAGAAATATAAAACATGAGTCGGACCCAGTATGAGAGCTGAGAATTATAACTTATTCAATTTTTGGGTGGGTGGGTGATGCTGCTCTTTGAAACAAGATGGATCCACCCTTTTACCTTCACTATCATCTGCAGGTGCATAAGCTGAGCGTCTTGAACGCATCTGCTGGTGTGGGGTGGGCTGGGAATCAACAAAACAAAATAGTATTTAACATATTCAATCTCAGGTTACATTATTGTATCTAGACAGGTTGAACTCAGAAAATGACCGGTTTTTCTAGCTTTGGTCTGTTAGCAGGAAAGAGAAGATCATTATCAATACCTGTAATTTTGGGCGCAACGCTTCCAGTGGTCCTTTAGGCTTTTGCGCTCCTTGCTGTTCAACAAGTTTGAAGATGTCACCAACAACATTAGCATTTTAAACTATGAATGAATCCCCATTCAAGATCAAAGGCTAAAACAGAATTGGGATTGGGATCTTAGAGCCAATGAGAAATTCAAAGGAGTACTACTACCTTTCCTAATGCCCAATCAGCAGAATCAAAGAATGCACGTTCATGGTCCTAGGCATAGAATTCAAGTATTGTTCTGGTCAGCGACCTTCCAATTAAAAAATATAAAGGAAAAGAAAAAAACATGAGAGTCAAAGCACAAAAACCTTGGATATTAAAGGAGGTTTTCTAGGTACTAGTCCTCCATACTTTTTCTTGATTGCTTCTTCCTGTAAAAGTCAAAACAAATCAAGATTTCACAATTGAATGTTCATAACCATGCAAAATCAAGTCAGCACAGCTTATGTAACATTTATGATTCACCTCCTCTTGGGCTGAGGGCATGGGACTTTTGCTGTTTTCATGTGAATCGTTCACCTCTTCTTCTATGACAGCACCATCCTCTTCACCCAAAATTTGATCTTTTTGATCATCAGCCTTGTCGTCATCAACTTGATTCTTTTCACTGTCATCCACCACCTCCTTCTGCTTTACATCCTCAACATTATTTGCTTGTGACATTTTTGCTTTAAGTAAATACCTGTATGACAGTAAAAACAAAGATTCCATTTGAGTTGCAGAGTTGGATAGCCAGATTGAAACCAAATGAAGGGAACCAAAAGATGAACTAAACCCCATTAAATTTCAAGCATATGCGCCAGGTTTAGTGTATACTATAAAGTAAACAATACCCAGTTTATGAAATTTAACAGATAGATGACAGGCTGAGTTTCCGTGGTATGTGTATAACAAATTCCTGCCTGTAAGCTTGCTTAAATATTTAATGGAGAATTCAGAACAGGAAAGAAAACATTAGTACCGAAATCCAAAAAAAAAAAGGTGACAGCTTGATAGGTGAAAGGAAATGATTACCTAATGAAAGAGATCGGAGCGGGATGCCTGACGGAGGAGTGACGGGTACCGACTTCAATCTCCTAGTGTTTCATCAACACGAAGCCTTAAAAATACGCATGGAGCATTTCTTTCATGGTGGGGTAGGGGCAGTCATGACTTCATGGGCTAGTTTCTTGTCTTGGGTTTGGGTTAGAACCTGAACAGGTTGAAACATAGGCCCAAAGTTGTGCTGATTGATCCGGAGTCATTGCTTGTGGGATCTGTTTAGTTTCTTACTCATTGCTCTCTCAACTCTCAAGGTAGTGGTTGTCAAAGCTTTAAGGCAATCCCTCAGGAATGTTAAAGCATTTTGCATGTGTAATGTGTTTTTCACTTTTGTGTGTGCATGAGAAAAAGATGAATCAGCTAAAAAGTATTCAAAGATCTTGAAATTGAAGCACTTTGGCAGAGTGGGGAGTATTATTGCAAGTTGAAATTTCAAGGGGGAGGTGAGGAGGTGAAGTAATCTTTGCAACAGAAAAGCAAGTGGGAGAGTCATGTACAGTTGTACCTGAAAAGCAGGCAGGAAAAAAGGGGGATGGGTGGGTGGTGGGCTGATATCAGTGACAATGTTATCTGGAATCTGCTCCATTAAGATTTAAGATTGAAACTTTGGTAGACAAAAACGCCATCCTCAGCCCATATGTCACCCCATAACCATATTCATAGATTCACGAGGTCCCCCCAAACTCCCATTCCTGTTACATCATAAACCAGAATCAGTCTTCCCTCCCTTTGTAATCTCATCCATAACTTTGGAGTACTTTCATTTATCCATCTTAACAATTTTAGCATGATCAATTGAGCAAATGATCTGTCAATTTGTTAGTATTGGATAGGCATCAAAAGACTTTCCCTAGGCTTTGAAATAGATCAGCATTTTCACCTCTCACAAGCTAATAGTTTGCCTACATATTCCTAGCCAAAACATTTCAGATTTTCATCAGTCGTGTAAATTTCTCCAAATAGTGGATCAGCTCCTAATCCCTTATCCTAAACTTGGAACTTGGAAAGTGATAAGGTTTGTTTCCAAAACAACCTCAAAAAGCTAGATTGAGGGTCTGACTAGGATTGCAGATTGCGAAATATATGCTTTGTTAACATAAATATTTGAACCAGGAGGAAAGAAAATCACAAACATAAATATGGGGCAAGGACAACGTGGCAAATAAACTACTCTGAGCTTATTAGGTGATTGATTATAGCTTTTAGGGCTTGAGTATGCTGACTTCAGGACCCATGCAGTTGCAGTTGTCACATTCACTCCCACACTGCCTTCATGAATGTATATGTTAACCTCATTCTTGGTTATATGCACACACTGCTTTTTCAGAGTACTCCCCTATGCAAGAATACATCATCAAACCTCCATTTGCATAGGTCCTCAAAGAAACAACCAACTCTCTGATGAAAACATTGCTGTTCTTTTCAGCAGAACAAAGCTAAACCTTTTAGCTTTGCTGCCTAAAAACATACTCCATACATATCTGGTCTTCCTTTTAGTTCCAAAAGTTCACTCCTCAGACTCATTCAGTTGTTTCTCCCTTGCTGCATATCCATGCTGGCTTTCTTCATCTAAGGTCTTGCATGTGGAAATGAGGTAAAGTAGTGCAGCCAAGGATGACTTGCCGGCTAGGCTCTCTTTCTCTTCCATATATATCATAGCTAAAGCTTATTTTCAGATAATAGATTTATATATAGATGGCATTTTTTTTCCCTTTTTGGGACATCTGGATTAATCTGTTCAATGAAATACTATTGGGAGATGGAGCTTATTTTTGGTGGAGATAACCGGCAAGTTGTCTTTGGCTACATTTCTGCCTGATTTTCACATGTTAGATCTCTGATGATAATAAAACTTGGAAATGCTGAAGATGGAGCAGCGCTCTGACATGACAGTAATGGAGGAGAGGTTCAAACCATATGTGGCAGGGTCAGAATCGTTATGAAGTAAGTTCCCATCCTTGTATATATGATCTAGATATAACATTTCATTCCTTTTAGAACCTTTGAATGTGAATAATCTATCAGACAATTGCCTTGTATACCTATAAATGGAAACTTGATCATCATAGCATGACTATCCAAGAATTGCTTGTTGACCAAAAGTTTAAAGAATCAGAAGAAAACATAGATGGCATTTTCTCTTAGGTTAAAGGTTAATTCTGCAGTTCCAGAATGTTTCTCTATTGTATTCACAGAATAAAAGATGCCAATGATTAAACCTTCAACAGGAAATATGTTTACATTTTCTGTGGAACGGCAGTGTTTGAATTAAAATCAAGGCTCAAATCTGTAGAGACTTAATTTGATCCATGCTAATTGTTTCCAAGTGTATGGAAGGAAAGAGGCACGCACATAATTCAAAGGGATCAGTCATTACTTTTGGTACAAGGACATAATTGCATCAAGTCATCCCCTACCCCACCTTTTCTCTTATTAATGCTGATACAGCTCGGGCATATCATTCTCAATCACCTTTTTGTTCTTTGGTAAGGGAATAATTAAAGCAATTAGCTAGGCTGAAGGGTCATTGCAACAAGTTATAAGATTGACAGAGTTTAGCTTAATATAGAATCTCTTGCTACAAACCGAAGGAGGTTTGCTAGAAGCATGGGTGACATGACCTTTTTCACTTGGAATGCCCTTGTTTTGTCTGTGTTGTATGCTTTGCTGTAACACATCATGACTGTGATTGTGAATGTTTAGGACATGAAGTCAAAATGAGCCCAAATAATACGGGGAAAAATGCATCTGGGTTTTGACAATTATTGTTGGACATGTTTCATCGCTGTCGGTCCAGATTTCCCTACAGAAGTTGCTGTAAAAGCTGTGAAAAAAATAGGACAGCTGACTGCTAAGCACATATAGATTGCAATCGCATTCCCAAATTTAGCTGGCTACACGTGACATTTCGGTCTGATGGTACTGGGAATCAAGACTTGATAGAGGGTCCATCCCCGTGCACAACCTACCGAAAATCATACATTATTATTAGGCTGAGATTGGGCCAAGTTTCCCTGTAGATGGTTGCAGCCATTCAGTCATTTACAGCTACAGAAGTCCCATGACATAAAGATTCATCTTCCTTGCGTGTCTCCTTTAGTTTAGCACACCATAAATGTGAATATATGGGAAATTTTAGGGCTCTTTGGTACGACATTAACATGTCAGAGTAGTTAATAATGATGGGGACTGCAAGTACTTTTAGACAACAACATTGATTAAAATGATTAAATGTGTCTCTATCCCTCCTTCCTTTGTGCAAATCACAGTGACTCTAGCATCCTTATGCTTCCCTTGTAGTTGGTGTTGGGATCCACAGATTAAATTGTTTTCTGCACCAAATTGGACATGGCAGTATGTAGGAGGAGCTTGTTTTCCAACAACAGTACCGAATTAGCCAAGCATTATGCTGCTTGTCATGGTATGCCACTGTCCTAACTTTGCTTTAGTCTTCGATAGACGCAAGTTTGAGGCAAGTAGGAGCAGGTAGGAATAGGATTTAAGAAATTAATGATTTCATCATCATAGCTAGTTTATTAAAGCGAGGATCATGCATCCTATCATGGAATGACATGTGACATGTTACAGAAGCAAATGCCAATTATCTCAAGGTCAGCAAATTAACCTAATTCCCACTTTGATTGTTTTTTACTGGTGGATAATTCTAAGAGAAAATTCCAGATTTGCAATGGCCTTTGAAGTTAATTTGTATAAATGTGCATATCTTTCACTCTGCTCTATCTAGCAACTAGTTTCAGCCAAAATTATTCTAAATTTTGGAGATTTTCAAAGAAGGAAACACAAATCACCAAGGGAATGAAGACAGGACCACTTGAGTCTGGTGAATCATCCAGTGATGCAACCCCGGCAAAATTGATGATCAGTGTGGTTGCTGTACTAGACTTCATGCTGAGAATCCTTGCTGCTGCAGGAACACTAGGGAGTGCTATGGCCATGGGGACTACTGAAGAAACAGTTCCATTATTCCCTCAATCCATCCTATTGAATGCCGAATATAGTGATCTTCCCATGTTCACGTGCGTTATTACCGACATGATGTGCCCCATACATGACTATGATACTTGAATTCCATTGCAATGTAAACGAAAGTTACCTAATTTACTTGGTTGGCATGTCTATATTTGACAGGTTCTTTGTGATCGCAAATTCAGTTGCCTGTGCCTATCTTGTGCTTTCTCTTCCCCTATCTTTCTACCACATTATCAGCAGTGCAGCCAAAAGCAGTCGGATCATCTTGGTCGTGTTTGACACGGTGAGGATAATGAGCATTGATTTGGGGCATCATATTTGTTGCTGTGCTAAACATATAGGCAAAAAGCAAATCATATGATTCAACTAAGCTTATTTGATTTGAAAACATGCTCCTCAGTGATAAAAATCAACTGAAAATTAACTAGGATAAAACTACCATTTCATTTCACAGTTTTTCACTGTTCAACCTGAAAAACATACACCGCTCATCAGAAGCTGCTGTTTCGTAAGATGTTCAAAAAGCACACAAAGCAAATGCTCAGAGCATTTCCTTTTTTTTTCTGGGAATTTCAAGAAAAAATTAAAATAATTATATGTGTACTTGAGGAATCTAACTTCAAATGAAACACGTTCAATCTAATTGTACAGGTAATGCTGGCCCTGGTCACTGCAGGAGCTTCTACTGCTGCAGCCATTGTCTATTTAGCACACAAGGGGAATGCTAATGCCAATTGGTTTGCAATTTGCCAACAATTCAACTCCTTTTGCGAACGCACTTCTGGATCGTTGATAGGTTCTTTTGCTGCAGCATTTGTGCTCATATTGATAATCATTACATCAGCCATTGCAATCTCGCACCGCTGATCCCAAATAAGAGTGAAGGAGTGCATCTGTATGTATGTATCTATATATTTCCTAGTTTGAGTCTGTATTTGTCTTGCTGGTTTGAGGGCTTTTATTTAATCTAATATTCAAACTTAGTCTGCAACCAATCCAACTTTAGATCATAAATAACAAATACCAAAGCAATTCCCAACTCTCATTGATTATCAATTTTATATGAACAACAGCTGCAAAAGAATAAATACATGTCCTAAAGAGTTGAAAATTTGCTCGCTGAAAGTACATTGAATGAAACTCTACAGTTCCTGATCTTACTGCGAATCAAAGTTATGGTCACATGGAAGCAACTTGCCAATTGCTGATCAGATGCTCCATCAGGGCTCCAGTACCTTTGTACTACCCCAATAATGCCACTAAATCATCTATGGATTTCAATGTCTTCTCGTAGTACAAGTATGATTCGTATACTTTTGGTGAGCGAACGTAATAATCAAACTAGGAGCATTAAGAAAAAGAACAATCACCCATTAATTCAGATTAAAGGTATATATATAGTTTCACTAATTCAGATTATTAAATGCCAATGAAAGAATAGCCAGATGTATACCTCAGCCATGTTATCCACCAATTCATTGGCTGTTTTCACATATACTTCCTTTCGAGCTTGGGGCAATGTGCTCATAGCATTCTTCAAATCCTGAGAAAGATAAGCCTGCTTTAGGCGAATGTAAAACATGACATACCTCCATGACATGTTGTCCAACATCTCTCTCATGCTATGCAACCCCTCAGCAGTTTGCTTAATCCTCGCGGCAGCATCTTCCGGCGATAGCCCGGGCTCAAAAAACCGTTCCCTGAGAAACGAACGCGTGCCCCAATTCTCTGCTACTGCCACCGGGGTGCCATGCAGCCCTAGTGCTGCTAGTGAAGTAGCCAGAATTGTTGTGACAAGTTTTCTCCGGTTGGTACTGGTGGTCATCACATCATCATTGTGCTGGGATGGAAACGATGCTCGGATTATGGGGATGAAGGGTTTGTTGCAAAGGTGCGTTTGGGGTGCGGTGAAGCTCTGGCTGACATGGAAGAGAGCTGTAGAATTAGTGAAGGTGCTCATGGTTTTTGGATAAAGTGCAAGATCATTTAGGATAGCTTGCCTTGCAAGAGGAAAGTGTCAGAGAATGGATTTTTGGGGCAGGTTTTGGTGCTGACCGAGCTGCCCCTTGATCCAACTTGGACCTTAGCTTTTTGGAGACGTGGCACTTGTTATCTTGTAGGATGTGACCAAACTCAAAACAGACTGAGTGGGCTTTCTCATTAGGCTTATCTCCTTCAAATTTAAATGGTTGGGTATGGGCCTCCCATCAAACCTAAAGTTTTAAAAGAAAAAAAATTGAACATTTGAAATTAAAACTTTTTTACTCTTGTTCTGTAACATGTAGTTGCATGTATTATGGACGGTCCAATCTCCATAACACCTTTTTCATGACAAGCATTATTGTTTACATTAATGTTGCATAACATCATAGATGCCATTAAATGTGATCCATCTAGTTGCATGAGCATGAAGAACTACCATTGAATGCGATCTAATTTTCCGATTTAGAGTCATTTATCTTAGTTGGTATCGGTCCATATCTTTGGCAAGATGTTGTTGTAGGTCATTATCTTAGTGCTGCATAGTTATTTGAAATAATAATACCTAATTATGACTAAATGCTTAAATTTGGATGCCAAATGGCAGCTACCCAAGTCCACTCTGATTTGGCCCTTTATAGGACAACCACCTTCTTTGAAAGAACCAACTTCCGGTTCCTTTGTATCCGAAGCGAATTAGCTTCCAAGTCGTCGCCTTTAACAACAAACCCAGTAATTTTCTCGGGAAAAATCTGCAAAGAAAACAATATGGGGATCACGGTTAAATTATTGGATCTGGAAAAGCACTTTGCTTTCTACGGTGCATACCACAGCAACCCAATAAACATAGCTATCCACATGTTATTCGTTTGGCCAATCTTCTTCACTGCAATCCTCATTCTTTACTTTACTCCTCCTCTGTTTCATCTCCCTCACATCGATTTCTCTCTGTTTGGGAGCCATGTTGCGTTGGTTTTGAACTTTGGGTTCTTGTTTGCTTTGATCTATGCTGTGTTTTACGTGTGTTTGGACGTCAAAGCCGGGACCTTGGCGGCTCTGCTTTGTGGGGTTTGTTGGATTGGTAGCAGCTTTCTTGCGACTCGACTTGGGTTTTCTCTTGCTTGGAAGGTACAAAATTTTCTCCCTTTTTTTTTTGTCTTATGGATTTTGATAAAGCTTTTGCCTTTCAGAAACAAGAATCCCTTTTTGTGTTTTCCTTACAGAGAGCTTCCTATGATTGAAAGAGAATTTTTCTTTGGAATTTTGCATGGAATTTTTTATTGGAAATGCCTATGATTTTGTTTTTGCTCAAATTCCTGATCGGTTCAGTCATACAATGCATTCTTTTCATTTAGATTTTCATGGAGGATTCTCCAGAGTCCAAAGTCCAAACTCCATAGTCTTAGCATTTGACAAGCACAACTTTGCTTGCAAGAAGAGTACATAGTTGGCCTTTGAAAGTTCCTTCAATATTGGAGCACCTTTATTCTAAAAGAACCAGGTCTTCTAATGCGTCTGCTTCTGGAACCATCCTTTGCAATATTTTCAATGGTGGCTTGACAATTTAGATCACTCTTGTGGCTTACAATGTGAATTTGGGTTTGGAATTTATTCCAAAACATAAAAGATTATCCTTTTCACATGCTAATGGATTCTTTTGTTCCTGTTTATTCCTATACATGATATTTTGGACTTAAAGAATATTGCAATTTGGCTTTATTGGCCTCTCTGCTTGACTTGGTAAAGTATACAAGAAAGACGAGAATATAATCAGCTATATCACTGCTGGATGGTCTTAATCCATTTACCATTCACTTAAGTAAAGCTTTTGAATCCTTGCTTAGTGTGTGTGAGAGAGACATGGGCAGGGGTGAATACAGAAGTATGATCTAACTTTCAGATAGCGGCATTCTAGAAAGTAAAAGATGTATAAAAGGGTGTTAAACTGTCATTAACCTTGGATTGCATTGAATTCTGTTATTTTTCCAAATCCCCTTGTAAAACAAACATTTCCAAACAGTTATAAATTAGTTGATCATCTTGAATAAATGTGGATTGGCTGTTAGTTTTTCATTCTGCACATCTATGGTTGCAGGGCCATGTTCTTGTTGCTTTATAGCAAAAGCACTTTACATCTACTCTTGTTTCAATCCATTTGTTGTTTAGAACTTTACTTCCTTGATAGTTGAAATTTTGGCACTTGCAGTTTCATTTTATCTTGTTCTTGCTCTAATTGGGTTGAAACTAATTTTAGGTTGTTCTGGTGGTTCAATTAGTCTGTTGGGCTGGACAGTTCATTGGCCATGGGGTCTTTGAGGTAATGAGTTCTGCTCATTTTGTCTATTATACAAACATATGTAAGCACATACATACACTCACAGAAAGTTAATGGTTTTCAATCATATTCATTCTCCTAAAATTCAATTTATATGCTACAGAAACGGGCACCAGCTTTATTGGACAACCTTGTTCAAGCCCTTATAATGGCTCCCTTCTTTGTGCTATTGGAGGTAATTTCATTTTTTTTCTTTAAAAATAAAGAAAAATAGCTGAAAAAAACTATTGATCTTCACAAATGGTCTAAAGTTATTATCGTCTTGTTCCTCAGGCTCTTCAAACCTTCTTTGGTTACGAGCCATACCCAGGGTTTCATGCAATTGTTCAAACAAAGATTGAGGCTCAAATCAATGACTGGCAAGAAAAGAAGCAGAACTTGATTTCTTAGATTCTACTTCCATTGACATTAGCATGCAGAGTATTTCAGTAAGTATGGAAGACACAAACAAACTTATAAATATACACACTTTTTCTGTCATCATGTAAAATCTGATGCAAAGCACTTGAAGTGGAATGTACATAAGCTTGTAGCAAGGACCGGATACGTTCACGGTAAACAGTTTTCTCAATATTTGTAGATGAAATAAACTGTTGCACTAGTTTTTCCTTGATGTTCATGGATTAAGCTCCAACTGGGGAATGCATAAACTACAAGGTGTGTGCAAAGTGTTTTCTCACTTACTGAATCTAATATTTTAACTCTATATTTCACCTAGAAAGGAGGGGAACTTTTGAGCAGTTACATCCCCAATCTGTATTAATGGAAAACACACTAGGCTTTCTTTTTCCGTTTGCAAAAAAATGAGTTTCATTTTCATATCATTCTCTTTCCTTCACACTTTGATTTTTCCTTCTTTCTTTTTCTTATGTCAATCTGCTGGGAGATATCAAATATTTAATCTCTGGTTTGCCAGAGTTGGAAGGATTTGCATGTTGAAACCATTGTTTTATTTTTCACTTACTCTTTTGGTTTTGACATTTATTGATACATGGAGCCTGTCCCTTATAGACCGCTACTGCAACATCTGTTCTCTCTCTCTCATAAGTGATTCAGCAGTTTAATAATGCATCTGGTCTCAGAAGGGATAATAACCTTTTGCCCTTATCAGAACAGTTTAGAGGAGTCCACTTATGAGGAGTCCAGGAGTACATATCCCATGTTTTATCTTTGTACGAAAATCAGATTGTTAACTGTCTTAGTTGATTGCTGATTGCTTGCAAAATCCAAGTAAATTTTGTACATTATTTGGACAATATGTAATGGTTAACTTTTAACCCGAAGTAACCATTAGCCATCTCAAGATTGTCTGGCTATTGCGAGCTTCAAGCCATGCTCCATTGATAGAATAGTCATCATCCTGTAGTTTACTGGATGATCCGGCACCAAATGGAATTTGAAAAATCTACACGCAATGGCCAATGCCATCTTCATTTGGAGATAGGCAGAGTCCTTTCCGAGGCATATTCTTGGCCCTGCCTGCATAGCACCAGAAAACAAGAACCAATGAGCCACCCTGATCTAATGTAAACTTACAGCTTTCTTTGATAGATTTGAGAACTTCCATCGATGAATTCTATGTAAAGAAACAACAAGTTCCCAGGGTATTAGTTAAATCTGCATTTTTCCTGGTTGGGTGCATGAAGGTTCATCCAAAGATGAAGATCTTTTGCATTATACCTGAAATGCAGTAAACTTGAATGGAGATGCATTCTGGAAGCAACCCTCTTTGAGCCATCTCTCAGGCTTGAATGAAGCTGCATCAGGGCCCCAATTATACTCCATCCGGCCCATTGAGTATGGAACATAAGTAACCATTCCTCCAGCTTTTACTCTGGTTCCATCAGGCAAGACATCATCCTCCAAGATGCCCTTGGGATCCTGTAATCATCCAACTATATTCACTGAGTTATAAAACCCAAAATAAAAGAGATCATCTGCTTTCTTGTGGGCACAATTTTTTGGGTGTTGGAATCGGAGCACTGCTCCAGCTTAAATCATCATTGAACCTTCAAAAGCACTTTCCCAAATGTTTTTCATTGTTTACCAACTGAATTGGAGAAAAATTCCCATACCTGAGGAACTGCCGGATATAAGCGGAGTGTCTCTGTGATCACCGCATGCAGATAATACAATCTCCCTAGTGAATCATAATTCAACAGACCTGCAAATTGTGCTGCTCTTTGACTGAATGATTCAGGGTCTTCGACATCAATTGGAAGCAATGAAATCTTCTCCTCTCTTGCTTGCTCTTTTTCAAATGCTTTGAGCTCTGAGTAAAGCCTTTCAGCTACATGAGCATGTCTCATTATCATGTATACGGCCCATGTCAGAGTTGTAGCTGTTGTGTCACGGCCAGCGATCACAAAGTTCAGGACAACATCCCTGAGACTCTTGTCAGTTAAATTGCTTTCTGGGTCTTCACTTAGCTCAATAAATCTTGACAGTATGTCATGCTTCATCTGATTCTTCCGTCAATAACAAAATTTGCTTGGTTAAGAATACTGGGAAAAGAGAAAAAAAGAAACCTGAATGTAACTTGATCTCAGTTTACCTTGCTAGTTTTGCAGGTGTCCCGATTGTCATTTATCTCTGCTTTCCTTCGCCTTATGACGTTGTATGTGAACTGGTCGATGACTTTGATGCTCTTGCCAAGTAGAGCTTCGGAGCCCACATTGAGAAATCTTTTCAATCTCCACAGTGGGTCAACGAACCGAAGTGTCACAATGATGTTTGCGGTATCAAAAGCCTGAGCAAAGCGGTTATCTGGTAAACTGGGAGCCAGGGTTCCAATTTCTACACCAAACCCAACTTTGCATATGGAATCCAAAGTCATCCTCATCAACAAGTCCTGAAAAAAAGGTGTCATTGGTCAAAGCACATGAAAAGAAAAGCCTGGCAGCATTTTGGAAAATTCTCTAAATGTGAACAGAAATTTTGTGATAGTCACCTGCATGTCTATTTCTAGGTTGGAGAAAGAAGCTTGATTTAGAATAGAATGGAGCTTTAGACTATATTCCCTGAAGACTACAGTGCTGAAATCCCTCAAATTCTTGGAAGCAAACTCAAAGCTAGCTGTCTTCCTTTGCTTTTTCCATAGATCACCATCGACATTGAAAATCCCATCACCAAGCAGCACTTCCATGTAAGAATGATACGTTTCACCCTTTCAATTTCAGAAACAAACAGGATACCAACCTTTATATCTGTTATCCAATATACAGAGAGAATGCAGTCCAACAAACCATGGAGAGTGAATTACTCGTTGAGTAATGAGAGCTTTACCTTGGGGTAATTGGCAAAGTTGGTCTTAAGGACATGTTCGACATTAGCAGGATCAGCAATGTAAGTATAAGTTGTAAATGGCATTGGAACTACTACAGTTTTGGATTCGGACAGGTATTTGACAAGCCAATCATGCATTCGATCATAGTTCATTAATTGTTCGATCGATGCTCCAATAAGCGGCCATGTTTTCGGGCCTTTTCTGTTTCTCTGGTTCCACCTGTAGGTGAAGATCCATGAAATAACCATGCAAGCTAGCATCAACATCCCCATGTTGCATCCATCTGGGGAAGAAAAAACTGAGAAAAAACTCTTTTCTTCTTCCATCTTAGATTAAAAATGAACAGAAAAATAGAAATGTAATTTGCTGATGAAATGACTTGGGGGGGAAATATTGTTTCTTATAAGGAGTAAAGCAAACAAGAGCCAGGTTTGCTAAAATGTAGATAAGTTGTGAAGCTCATGAATTAACTACTACTTTGTCAACAATCTTTGCATGCTATAGCTTTTAGAAAATGTTTCACTTCTTTTGCATTCTTACCCTTAATCTACCCAAAGTAATCCTTCGTTCTTAATATGAGGACGAGTGCGTAAGATACATACACTTATCAAAGCACCAAAACCAAGATGTCAACAACATAAGAACTGTGCTGATCACTTGCCAATGAAACTAATCTCCTGAGGTTACCACGTGTACCTAATCATTTAATTCAATGATAAGTGATACCTCGTTCAAAATAGAGTTAAAATCTCTTTTTCGCGGATAAAAAAAAGCATGCAAAGACAGCAATGCCTAAGCTGTTTATACAGATGTAGTTAATGAGCAATAAAGAGCAATGCTATTCCTATGTCTATGATACTGACTCATTCAAAGAATTCAGCAGTCCGATTATGCTTGTTCAAACGAAATTCTCTTTTTCCAGGTGCCTGTGTGACGGCAGAATCTGAAAGTCTGATAAGGAAATATCAACATCAATGTGCAACGACAAAATAGCCCATGCATGCAGCAATTCTAGACGCAATCATCCACACATTGCTTTCCCACAAGGGCCTTTTGACCATCCCACCAACTTTCCAATCAATTGTTATCTTTTTGGATAAGTGATGCATAACCCAGCCCCAAAAAGTCTGCCAATAGTTTCAGATCAAAGTTTTTTATCTTGAAAAATATCTCCTTGTTCTCATCATCATCTGTGCTCTATGCCTATCTTTGCCTCCCTAGCTTCTTTCTTTCTTTCTTCCTTGCCAGGGCCTAAAGGCCTTACTTTAGGATCGATTAGAAGAAATAAAGCATGGGATTATGACTTTATCAGGAAAAGTACTGCTTGGAATATTCAATATTCATCTGATTTGCCTCTTTGACATTGTCTTTGGTCTTAATCAAAATCATCAATACTCATTCAATACAAATACTTATATTAATCATTCTGAATTTATAATTCTTGAATATTGAGATGGCTGCAACCTATATCACAAATTTAATCATCTAAAAAGATATAATCTCTCAGGCAAACATTTCTTTCTTTTTTTTTTTACAAGTTTTTTAATAGAAAAGGGTGGTCCATTTGCTTATGTGTCTAGCCAATCCAATATTTTCTTTAAGGTTAAAAGCAATCTAATGCAAATCTCATTGCTGAAACTGGTACACCATGGGATTCATGTATACTTGCTGGTATAGGTTCCCACTCAGATTCACTTGAAACTTCCCTGAATCAGAGTATTCGTAAGGTACTTCTCCTAGCTGAAGTTTCTCAACATGGTGGTCAGTCCCGCTATTGCCTATGTTGTTAGGAAAATCAAAGCTGGCATTGTATGTGTTTTCACTCAAAAGATGGGAAATTGGACCCATGTGGTCCAATTCCAGTAGATGTGTAAATGAACATGTCCTCGGAAATTTCAACATTTGTTGGCTTTCACTAGCATCATTTGAGTACTCTATCATGTCAATTGGGGTATTTGATTCTTCAAGTTTTTGATCCAAAACTTTCCCTGAATGCTTCTTCTTGTAGATTCTGCACAGGACCCAATCATCCAGCTAAAAGAAACACACAAAAAAACGCAAAGCCATATGGTCAGCTTATAGACACTAACAACATGATCGGAGTCCTGGAAACAACCAAGAGATAAGAAACTCACTCTCATGGATCCATTTTGCTTGCTGATTTGCTTTCGGGAATCGCTCAATCGATATTCATGCATAATCCAGTCAGTCTTGATACCCTTCGGTGGCCTGCCCGTGTAGAACACGAGAGCCTTCTTCACCCCTACGTATTTCGAACCACTGTAGATCGCTTTGTCTGTCCCGGTAGCCTTCCAATACCCTGAGACAGCAGCCCTGTTGGGACGAACCCCGTTAGGGTACTTCCTGTCTCGAGGGCTAAAGAAGTACCATTCGTTTTCACCAAATCCTGCTTTGTCTACAAACCATGAAACCAAAGAAGGAAACAACATCGTTCAGCAACAAGGAGAAACAGAAATGATTGAGCAAAATACACAGCAAACCACAGGGTAGGCTTTTTTAAACTAACCAGGCAATTGCCACGGATCAAATTTGTAAATATCAACTTCTGGGATTATCGAAACAGGACATGGCCTTGATTTCGCCTGGTTTCTGAGGTAATAAATGATCAACTCTTCATCCGTGGGGTGGAACCTGAAACCAGGAGGAAGGTCAGAGCTAGCTTTTCCCTCCATTCTATTGCTTCGAGTCAAAGCAAAGGGTATTTGATATTATTGTTTATACTAAAGCTAAAACAGGATAAGGATTGGTAAAGAAGGGGAAAGGGAAGGAAGAGAAGAAGAAGATGAGATGAGGACAGAGAGACAGAAGGGTGTTTGAAATGTTTGCAAAGAGAGCGCTAGGCCTTTTATCTTTGAAGGATTTTGTCTTATTATTCTGGGCTATAATGGAGTTCGATTGGCTGATGGCTTGACTTTCAGGCTTAACCTCGTATCGTAATCAGACTGCCAACACTAGCAGGGCACGTGGACAGCACATGACACACACTCTCTCTCTCTCTCTCTCTTTGTATAGTTCCTTCCATTGACTTCTTATGCTCGGTTCGTTGCACCAGCCCAAGGAAAAAGTCGAACAAAAGTCCTCTGTCTTTACTACAGTTTCGCTAATTCTGGTATCTTAATAAAAATAATATTACTATAAAATATTTTTTAAATATATGGTATAAAATTATAAAATAAATATAAATCAGACATTAAAAAAATTTTATTCAGAAAAAGAAAAGGCTTTTACTTCTTTGGAATATCTAATAAGGAAAATACTTAGATCTCTTACTTCTATTTTTTTCTCTATTAATTAATCTTAGATTTTATACAATACCTTATCAAAACAAGAAAGATTTCAATAAAATCAATAAAAAAATATTAGATATAAGATATGACTTTATTAAACATTTATTTTTTCTAATCACATAATTTTTTTAATTTTTAATTTTTGGTGAAGCGAATTGGTCATCTATCAAATGGTTTTAAAAGGTTTGAATTAAATTTTTATAAATAAATCATGATTGTACATTGCCTTTTCAAATACTATAATCTATTAAATTATTTTTTAATTAACATTATTGTACAACTAAAACTATACGTTCGGAACACTATATTTTAGTTTTTGTTAACTTAATCTCTTGTCGATTATTTTTCATTTCTTTTTCTCTTTTTCATATTGTTTTATCATATACTCCTTTCATCATATTAATTTTTTATCAAAATTTATTTTTGTTGTTAAAATTAAATTAGGTATGTGTAATTTTAATTACATATAAAAAAATCACATTTACAGTTGTATATATTTAGGAAAATTATGATATATTTAAGAAATTATCATATATATTTATGAAAAATACAAGGATTTGAGTTTCTTTTTACAAAAAAAACAAAAACAATCAAAACATGGAAGCAAAGCAAAGCGAGTATGATGTTTTCTCTACTCGAGCAATGGAGATTGGAAACACTTGGGCTGAATAAGGCATGAAACGAACGCTATCAAAACACTTAACATAGCGCCACGTGTTCCTTTCCAAAAGTAGTAGACCAGGATAAGCATCGCAGAATTTGAACAAACTTAGGGCAAGATTTTTTAACTTGTGGTTCTTATCTTTGCCACGTCATCAATCGGTCCTAATTGGTTCTAATCTCTTTTTCTGATTGCCACGTAATCACTGGGTCCTATTTTAATGTCACGTGGTGAAATCTTGATCCTTGAGTCCTTTTTTTTTTATTTTAAGATCAAGCCACCACGTGGCAAGTTGACCTTCAATCGTGGGTTTTGAAACTTGGGGGGAATATTCTGTGAATCTCAGCCGTTAATTGTGGGCTTTTTTATGCAGTGGGCATGCGTGGTAGTTGTCTTTGTCCTTTTTTTGACCTTTGCTTGTTTTGTTTTTAACCATGTGGATAAATTAGAATCAATGTCCAATAAGAGAGGATTTAAATTTAATTTTTTTAATATAA